TCAGATTGATTGAATGCAATATCCATAAAGAGGAGCCAATTGGCCTTTATAGACATTCAGCAGGACAGGCTGGTACTTTTTGCCAAATATAAGGCAATTTTGTCTGCTGGTAGGTGGAGATTTCAAGGGCTGATAAATGTTGGACCCAATGTCAGGTTCAAGGTCCAATTTCATTCCCCCATACTTGGCTATCTTGGTGATACAAGTTTTTAATACTCTTTGACAACATTAAGAAGAACAAATTTATTCAACCTTCATAAATATCAAAGCAAAAACTCAAGTTTATAGGACAGGAATGGGGGTTCATACCTGTAATCTCAGCACTTGGGAAGCGGAAGCAGGAGGAGTAATACAAAAGTAAGGCCAGCCTGGGCTACTTACTCTTCAGTTCAACATGAACTATATGATAAGAACCTGTCTCTAGCCCAACTCTGAACAAAACAATCATAAAACTCAGGTTATAATTTCTATTTTTATCTGGAATGTTGTTTCTCTCTAATCTTTACTTTTAGCTTGAAATTTGGAGTTTCCTTTGATTTTGACTCATTCCATTTTGTTAAAAAAAAACTGTAGAAAACAAAGAATCGGCCATGGTGGTTTTAGTTTGGAGTTCCCGATTTAAGATTCCACATATATTTCTTGTAGAGCCCAAGGAATCCACAGTTGTATTGGGCAGTTTAGAGCTAACCTGAGCCCTGTATGTTCAGCCTTACTGATTCATTTAAATTTTACCAGCACCCCAACACTCCCCTAAACTCCACAATCATCCTCTCTTTCCCTTCATTTGGCAGCATGGGATACTTCCCATTGTGTGGTCTGCATTTATGTATCCATGTGTGTGCAGGTACCCATGCAGGTCAGAAGAGGGGTTTGTATCCCCTGGAGCTGAAGTAGCAGATGGTTGTGGGTGATGGGAACTTCAGTCCTGTGTTAAGTGCAGCAAATGCTCTTAACCACTGAGCCATTACCTCAGACCCATCCCCATAGGCTTTATTCTGAAAGATATAATTTAAACAGGTACTGTAGAAAAACAAGTTTCTCATTCAGACTGGGAGCAGCAGTCACTTAAAGGTGATGGCTGTTATGTTACTTTCTAGCTGTAGCGATCCCCTGGGAGAATGGTTATTTTCTGTTACCTGTTTAGTTGGCTTTATCTGTGTATCATTCCAGCCTAATGAATGGTTAGGCAAATTTGCACTTTCTCACTCTGAGCTGATTTTTACTTTCTCAGTCCCTTCTTTTGTCCAAGAGCCATGAAATTCAGTTTCCAGAACATTTTATTTACTTGGGTTTTTCGAGACAGGGTTTCTCTGTATTGCTTTGGAGCCTGTCCTGGAACTAGCGCTGTAAACCAGGCTGGACTCGAACTCACAGAGATCCACCTGCCTCTGCCTTCTGAGTGCTGGGACTAAAGTTGTGCTCTACCAACGCCCGGCCCCAGGACATTATTTTGTGACTGCCAGAGCTGCACCACTGAAATCCACTCACTGGAAGGCCATGTAAACAGTTGAATTAGAGTCAACCTTCATATTCCTTTCCTTGTGAGAGGAACTGTTTCTATAACAATAACTAGACAGTAGCATTTGTGAGTTAAGATAACACATTTGAACACTATAACACAGACAAATGTTAAAAAGTTTTGCCACAAAGTAAGCTCTGTAGTACACTTTTAAAAGAAGTCAAATGTAGCTGGAGGTGGTGGCACATGCCTTTCTTTAATCATAGCATTCAAGAGGCAAAGGCAGGTGGATCTCTCTGAGTTTGAGGCCAGCCTGATGTACAGAGTGAGTTCCAGGACAGGCTCCAGAGCTATAAGAAACCCCGTCATGGAAAAACAAAAAAACAAAACAAACAAATAAACAAAAAAGTCAAGTGAATCTAAATTAAACAGAAACAGGCAGTTTTCTTTATTTTGAGCTGTTCAGAGGCAGGTATGGGAGTAGTAGCTAACTTAACCTAGTTTTTCAAAGAAATTTCCTTATTCCCAAAGAGTACTTGGTGTTAAGCTACTTGGTAACCCAGCTGCTCTGTCACGAAACATCTGTACTAAAGGCAGTTGGGTCTACAGCGAATACAAACTCAACCAGTTACCTACTTACATTTAAGATAAAAATCACAAGCAAATTGCAGTCAGGTGCACTGTTGGCCCCAAGAAGAGATAAGAGCTGCAAAGGCTATTATTAAGACTACGGCCAACCAGGGCGTGGTAGTGCACGGCTTTAGTCCCAACACTACAGAAGCAGAGGCTGCTGATCTCTTGAGTTCAAGGTCAGCCTGGTCTACAAAGTGAGTTCCAGGATAGCCAAAGCTGTTACACAGAGAAACCCTGCCTTATAACCTTGGTTGTATAGCCCTGACTGGCTTAGAATTCACTAGGTAGATCAGGCTGTCCTTCAACTCACAAAGATCTGCTTGCCTCTTACTCCCTAGGGCTAGGATTAAAGGTATGTGCTACAGTTTGAAAGAGCTCAACAATTTAATCCTTAACCTGGCAAAAAGGGACCATTTTTTTGTGTTATTAGTGGATGAAATTTATCCACATCAGGCTGTCATCCTGTGCTTTAAGGACTTCTTATAACCCTTTGAGATACCTGGGTCCAAGGAGCAACCACCCTGAGTACTAGTGTTGTGCTAGTTAACACGAGCTGGCAATGACCTTCTCATCATAGCTAGCAGGATAGTCTTCCTAGAATCTTTTTTTCCAGAGGACAAAGAGTCTGGTTTTCAATTGTGAAAAGGTTTTTTTTTGGGGGGGGGAAAGGAGGGAGTATGGTTTCTTGTCTTCAGCATCATTGACTCGGGACCAAATAATTCTTCGTTGTAGAAGGGCTGTCCTGTGTACTCCAGGAGCCTCCCAGTGTCACTGGTTTCTGCCAACCCCATCCCCCTACCTGACAACTCAAAGTGTCTCCAGAGGTTGGAGAATGTTCCCCCAGAGAGTAAATGAGCTGTAGCTTGATACCACTGCTTCAGAGGATGTGCTGGAAAGTCTACTCGGTCCTGTGAATAAAGGGTGATTTGGTCAGTGGAGAGTTGAGTAAAATGTAACTTTGCCTTCTTTAAATTGAGACAAGGTCTTACTTTGTAGGCTTGGCTGGCTTCCAACTTGCAGATCCACCTGCCTCTCTCTCCCAAGTTCTGGAATTAAATTTGTGTGTGTGCTACTATGCCTGGCATCTCTTGTGTACTGTATATAATACACAATGAACTAATAACTCACTTTAGGCAAAGAATGAAATGTTATCTGCAATAACATGGATGGATGGCTCTGGAGGACATTATATTCAGTCAAAAAAAAAAAAAAAAAAGAAAAAAAAAAAAAAAAAAAGGCATGCACACAAAGCCAGTATCTCATCTCACTTTCAGTGGAATCTTAAAATTTCCAATTCATTGAAGCAACAGTAAATCATTTTTATTAGAGGCTGAGGGCAGGGAAAGGGGAAATGTTACTGAAAAGATACAGTGTCTCAGGCAGCAGTATGCAGTGCGGCAATTTTAGTTATATCTTTGAGAGCTAATAGCATCTCCTATAGTGAAGAGTGGATTTAATTGGACATAGGGATGCACCCCTATAATCCCAGTTTCTTGAGAGTCTGAGGCAGGGGATCACAAATTGGAAATCACCCTAAATTACGTAGCAAATTCCAGTTAAGCCTCCATCATTTAAGAACACAACAACAAATGGCTGGGGATATAATGGCAGCTTGCTTGCCTACTATAGATAGGCAAGGGTGCGGCACGAGGTGGTTGGTGTATTAGCTGTTTTCACCTCAAAGAACAATGTAGGATAGGTGATAGCTACGTTCGTCAATGAATCTGATTTGTTCATTTGGTAGTGTATTCATGCATTGCAATTTAACACTGTGCCCCATAAATATACAATTTATCAATCCGAAAAGCGAGTAAGGTAGTGCAGGAGCTTGTGGTTCCAACTACTTTGAGCTCAAGAGCTAAAAGGCTAACCCCGACAATACAGTGAGACCAAGAATCAAAAAGAGTACTGCAATTGTACAAGTGGAGAACAAAGAGAATTGTCTAACCTTGCAATCAGCATGAGCATCTGTTACACCTGCGGGAGATGAAGCTGCAAAATGATGTTTAGGTAGGGCCACAGAAACAGACGCTTTTAATAGTGAATTTCTCCGTGAGTTGTGCATGAGAATCTCTAGGTAACTAGTAAAAAAATCTCGAAGCCCAGACATCACGCAAGAACAATCGCATATGAATCTATGGATATGGAACCCATAGACTTCCTTTTTTTAAAAGGCTTGTACCTGATTCCAAACAGGAGCCAAGATTAGAAAACACATACAAAATTTGTGGATTTTTGGAGGAATTTTTCGAGGCGATAGGGAAAGATGAAGTAAAAGCCCATGCAGGACAGGGCGGCTACTGCAAGGGCAGGGACAAAAGCCAAGAGTGCCAGCGAAGGATAAGGACTGCATGTGTTTCACTGATGGGCTCTGGGTGACAGCAACGAGCTGGGAGCACTGCATTCAAATGACGTTATTGTGCCGTTGCTCCTGTCCCGTTCCATTTTCTCGCACATTTTCCCACAGTTGACCAAAAATAAAATAAAATAAAATAAAATAAAAAATAAAAACCAAAACCGACGGTAACGTCCTCTCTCACGCGTCGCGCCAGAGACGCCTATGGGCGGAGCGCGCGTGGGAGAGTCACGGCGCGCGGTCACCGCCGGTCGCTGGAGAGGAGCTCGCCATAGCGCTGGGGTCTCGAGAACACACGGGAGAAAGGCGGCTTCTCCACTAGCCCTCCTCAGCCCACCGCCCGGCTGCGGATGCTTAGGCGGGGGTGGGAGGACGGTGTGGGGGGGGAAAGGAGCGCCCAGGGACTGCTGACGTTACCGTGACGCGGCCCCATCGGTTGGCGGCGCGGCTTCCGGCGGCGCGCGTCCCCCCCCCACTCTTTCCGCTTTCCCGCCCACGCGCCGCCCCGCCCCGCCCCCCTCTCTCACACACCCCCCTCCTCTTGCCCCCCGCCACAGCACAGAGCGGGGAACCGTCACAGGTTGCCAGTGGAAAGGGCCTCCCGCGGGTTCCCCTTCCGTTCTGCCCGGCGACTTCCGCTCCAGGCCCAGCAACATGGACGCTTCAGCCCACCGGCCGGGTGGCCGCTGAACAGTCGCTGAAGCTCGCTGCCTTCAGCGCCGGCCGGCCCGTCTCCCCGCCCTCCCGTCCGGCGCTTGTGTCCCTGCGGCCGGCCGGCCCGGCCCTACATGGGGGCGGGCCTCCGCAGCCCCGGCTTGGCTTCCTGTTCAGAGGCGGCCTGGCGCTAGGCGGCGGCCACTCTACCCGCGCCCGCCTCGGTGCGGTCACCGAGCCCGGGAGGAGGCTCCAGGGCCACATCGCGGGCGGTTGTGCCAAGCCGGGCTGTGAGCCGCCATGGCCCCAGTGCAGCTGGAAAACCACCAGCTGATCCCTCCGGGCGGCGGCGGCAGCAGCGGCTCAGCGTCTGCCCCGGCTCCTCCGCCGCCGGGAGCTGCGGTAGCGGCGGCAGCTGCGGCCGCGGCTAGCCCTGGTTACCGGCTTAGCACACTCATCGAATTTCTGCTGCACCGGGCCTACTCGGAGCTCCTGGTGTTGACGGACTTGTAAGTGTCGCGAACCCATACCTGCTTCTCGGCTCCCCACTTGCCCTTCCCGCCCTGTGGGCCAATAGAGGGTTGAGCCTGCCGCTTACTGAGCGCGGCTGTTAAGTGTAGAATTTTGGAATTCATGGGGTTCAGGTTCTGGAGACGTGGGGGAGGTCAGTATTGGGGTTGGCGATGAAAGCACCGAGACTGGTTGGTTTCGCGTGCTACACTTGAGCTGACGATTGTCTTTAAGATTTTTGTCTTGAGTTCTCAACAGAACTCTATTGATTTCTTGGTGGAAGCTTTTTAAAACCCTAAGACGGAGAGTTAAGCTTTCAGGACTACGTAAAATGCTAACTGAACGCGATTCTCAAAGAAGGGAAATGCTTTATAGCCCTTTGACAGTGTGTTTTAAATGTAGGTTGCGATTGTTTCTCTTTGGGCTCAGGAGATAGATTTTGTTTAATGTCTTACATTCTGAGTTCTGAGTCTTTCTGAAACATTGGAAAGCGTTTGAAGTCTCTCTGAATGTGTAGTGAAAGTAAAATACTTTTTTCTAACGAGCCTGCTCATTTCAGTCACCTAGTTACCTATGAAATGCCTTGGGGCGTGATTAGGGTGTTAATCCCTTCAGAATACAAGCAGAATACACTGATGGCTCTGTGTGCGAAGAAAAGGCATTGTGAAATTTTGGAACTCTGTTTTACATCTTCTAGTTGGGGTTGATAAAAGTTTTCACCTTTTACCTACCTATTGTTAGAGTCCGTCAGATTTCCAGGAACATACATAGTATGCGGACATTAGGAAGCATAGGTGATACTTTGTTACTGGACAATGGACAATTGAATACTTGGTTGTACATGACTAAAAGTGTTAGAGACGGCTTCCCATATTCCCATACTCTTGTAAACCATTCATTCTCTTTCATTTTTGATGTACTATTTGTTGAATGAGACAAAGCTTAACCTTGCCCAAGGAGGTGTCTTTTTTTTTTTTTTTTTTTTTTTTGAGACTGGGTCGTCTTCTAACCTTTCAGTTCTGGTTCAGTCTCTTTCATGCTGGGATTTCTAGTGTGGGCCAGCACACCTGGCTGATGGCTGAGTTTTTTTTTTTTTTTTCTTTTTAATGAAAAGTCCTCTATTTTCTAGGATTGCAGGTGTGTGGCTTCTCCCCTGTCCACAGTTTCTGACTGAGAGAGAAATAGCTGTTACATTTAGGAATTCTTGTAGTAATATACTATTCAGGAGTTCATAACAATCAAGAGAGCTGGGCGGTGGTGGCTCACGCCTTAGACCCCAGCACTCTGGAGGCAGAGGCTGGTGGATCTCTGTGAGTTTGAGGCCTTGATCTGCAGAGTGCCAGGACAATTGGGGCTATATGGTGAAAGCCTGTCTTGAAAAACCAAGGGGAAAAAAAAGAATCCAAGAGGAAGTTTCATACATGTCTTGTGCATAGCTGTGGGAAAAGACTGTGATCATGGATCATGTGATTTGGTTTTCTATAGAGGAGTTGTATAAATTTATTGAATTGTGTTGTACCTTTAAGTTTTTGGACTGGTTTATGGAGCGGCATCTATCTGTTTTATTGCTGTGGAATAATTTTGAGTGATGATTCCTAAACATATCTCAAGCATAGACCTCAGCTGAATTCCACATTCTGTGTCCAGGTCCATACATTTCAATATCTAAACCAGGAGCTAGGTTTGTTGGTAGATTTATGCCTAGGACCTCAGCATTTGGGAAGCTAAGCTTTAGGCAAGCCTCAAACTATGTAGTGAGACCCTATTTTAAAAACTATCCCACAGCTAGACACTATGGTGCATGGCTTTAATTTCAGCAGAGGCAGGTAGGTCAATTCTAGGACAGTGAATGTTACATAGTAAAACCTTGTCTCAAACCAACAAATCCCTCCCCACCACCCAACACACACAAAGAAACCACACAGGGAGCCACAAACTCACAAACAAAACAAAACAAAGCAAAAAAAAAAAAACATAGGAAAAAAAGTTTCTATTAGTCTAAACCAGGATACCTTTGAATAGGAAAAAAGATGCTGTAAATATAGTAGTGCATTCTTGTAGCCCTAGCCCTATGGAGGTCAAGGCAGGAGTATCAGAAATTAAAGAACAGCCTGTAGGCAACTTAGGGAGTTTGCTGTCAGTTTGGACTGCCTGGTATTATGTTTCAATAATAATAATAATAATAATAATAATAATAATAATAATAATAATAATAATAATGCCCAGTGGGATGGAAGTGTAGCTTATGGGTAGAACATTTGCCAGGTCCTGGCTCTGGCTCTAGAGCACACACACACACACACACACACACACACACACAAAAAAAAAAAAAAAAGCAACAGCACCCATACATGGGGATTTATGCTGTGCAAACCATGATGGCCATTTCACTTTTAAGGCCCTGAGAGGACTGTCTTGTCTACTCTACCTACCTCTTTAATTTATATGCTAATAGTCTCATTCTGTTCCATCTACCTACCCTAACCTTGATGTTTCTTGATAGTTCTTGGCACAATTTACAATTGGATCATGCCTCTGCTCTTTTTCCAGAAATACATGTGGTTTTCCTTCTCATTTCCTTTAGGTCTAAGCTCACATATATCTTAGATCAAAGACTTTTTCCAGGCACTCCTGTAATACTACTTTGCACCTTGTATCCTCTTTTGATGTTTTTTCTCTTCAATGCTTACTTCTTGAGACATCATTAGTATATAACTCTGCCTCCCCTATAGAATAGAAAACCCAGGAGAACAAGGATTATAATTAGTTTTGGTTTCCCAGTGACAACAACAATGTCTGGCATGTATTTGGGGCTCAACCAAATTTAGTACATGAATGAATGAATTTTCAGAAATGTCTCTTTAAACCATGTATGATTAAGGGAAAAGCAACTTTTTTTTGAGGGGGGGGTTGTTTTTTTTTTTTTTTTTTTTTGGAAACAGGGTTTCCCTGAAATAGCTCTAGCTGCCCTTGAACTTGAACTCACAAAGATCTCTGCCTCCCAAGCTCTGGGATTAAAGGTGTATACCACCTCCGCCCTGTGAACTGTTGTTGTTATTATTATTAATTTATTTTATTTTTCCAGACAGGGTTTCTCTATAGCCCTGAAGCTAGCTGTGTAGACCAGGTTGACCTTGAACTCAGAGATTTCCCTGTCTTTGTCTCCCAAGTGCTGGGATCAAAGGCGTGTGCCACCACCGCCTGGCACCATTGCTATTCTTGATTTAAATAAACAACCCTCTTTTCAATTTGTTATGTGGCAAGTAAAATTACTTACTTTTGATTTTGAGACAGTCATGCTTTTCTGTTGTCAAGGTTGGCATGGAACTTTGCATCCATCCCCCTGCCAGAATTAATGTGTTAATGTACATTAATGCTGAAGTCTTAAGGGATATGGTTTTCAACATCTGGTTCTGTTTGAAACACAGAAGATAAAAAACAGCTTTGATGGAAGCAGTGGTGCTCACTTTAATCCCAGCATTCAGGAAGCAGAGGCAGATGGATCTCTGAGTTTAAGGCCAGCCTAGTGTATAGAGCAAGTTCCAGGACAGCCAGGGCTGAAACACAGAGAAACCCTATCAAACTGGAAAAAAGTGATTATATCTTTGATACTACCTATGTTTTAGGGTTTTTTTTTTTTTTTAAGATCAAGTTACTAGGGAGGTTTAGAGTATTTATTTATTAGTGGCTACCTCTCCATTACCAATATCAAATGCCCTATTTGTAGACTTAGACACACACACCAAAACAAAACAAAGCCCCCCCCCCAATAATAAGCCAGCTTCAGTAATTTAGGTGATTTGTTTTGAGCCCCAGATTTCTAGGTTTTCCCCCCCCCTTCTGCATGTTCGCCTACAACACATGCTCATACTTTTTGCTTTAACTTCATAGGGGCATTTGCTTTTTAACCTCTTTGCTAGGATTACAGCCAATAAACTTTTACTGCGGTGTGGAATAAATATGCTATGTGTCTTCTTTCAACATTTGCATCTTAGGGTCCTCTCCCGCCCCATGTGGAGGATTTCCATTGAGGATTTTAAAATAAAAGTGCAAGCATTAGGATAAAAGGGAGGCAGGCAGCAAATCCTGTCCTTTGTCCTAGAAATGGCAGAATTTCTGGTGGTCTCTGGGTGCAGGTAGGAGCCTGAACAATGATTCCTGCTTTCCTATTCTACCCCTAAGCTCTACTGTCTCCCCATCCCCCTAATCCTCAGTTTTTTCTCTCTTGAGAAGAAGGCTTCTCAGGGAGTAGTCTGAGGAGCTTTTTTCATGTAGAGGAATTTACCAGGGGTTGCTTTTATTTGTAATCTTTGAGATAGGCTCTTACTCTGTATCCCAGGCTGGTCAGGAGGCAGTCCTTCTGTCTCAGCCTCCCAACGGCTTGTGATTACAGTGTGTGATACCATACCTGGTTCTTATGTGCAGGCTTCTAATAGGCCTTCAGTTTCTACTTAGCTCTCTGTTATACTGGCCTTTCTAGCCCATACTTAGTTTAAACTCCCACCTGCACCTTGAGCTCTGGCTTGGTGTCCATTGTTGTCCTGAACCTGAACCTCACCTCTCCCCTAGGGATTGAGCTCAGGTGTGTGCTATGCCAGTGTTCGACCACTGAACTGTATACCCCAGCTCTACCTAGTTCCTCTGTCACTCTGATCATACCTGTAGCTTCCAGCCATCCCAATGTCTTCCTTGAGAATTAAACAGAACTCACTTTAACAGTTTCCCCTACTTGTACCTTTCTCTGTTTATGAGGCACATGGTGTGTGTGTGTGTGTGTGTGTGTGTGTGTGTGTGTGTGTAAGGGTGTGTGGTTGGGAGACTATTAAGTAGCTGGGGGTGCATTCTTCAGGATCTGATAATTGCTGGGCAGGCTTGAGAGGTGTTGAGGCCATGGTTCTATACCATAAGTTACAGGTTACTGGAATGTTGAGGTACAGAAGGCTGATTAGGACCTTTCCAAGCTTCAGAAATAGTATAATATATCAAGGAGAAAGTTGATAGAGGTTGCTGGCAGTCAGTACTGGAGAACTAGCAAAAAGAAATCAAGGATACTACTGGTTTTATTTAGAAATAATATAAATCCTTCATTTAACCATGATGCAATGTCATAATTGCCATAAAACCTTGATTGCACCCTTAGCTTCCAGATTCACCTACTATAACATAACATAATGGGATTACTATTAAGAATCAAAGTGCTCAGAGAGGTTTGGGTTCAGAGAGGCTGATAACTAAGCAATATTCCTACACCTGTAGCCATTTTAGTCTTAAAAGATACTTTTTCTGACTCTGATACTTTGTGCTGATGTGAGTCTGGGAATATGTGTTCATTTATTTTTTAGAGACAGGGTGTCTGTGTAGTTCTGGTTGTCCTGGAACTCACTGTGTAGATCAGGCTGGCCTCAAACTGAACCAGGTCCTCCTGCTTCTGCCTCCTGAGTGCTGGGATCAAAAGGTGTATGTACCACCTATATCCCAGGACTTGGGATTTTAAATGTTTGAAGTTTGTTTACACAGTATCTTTTGAATCATTTTGAGTGGAAAGAAATGTTGCTTTCTCAGTTTCTACTTTACAGCCATATTGTTGCTAATTTATCAGTGCAGGGAGTTAGCAGCCACTTGAGCCTGTAGTTACTGTTTGCTCAGTTTTTCTGAAAGCATGAAGATACCAAATAGAGTCAGAGTACAGGCCATTATCACATTTTTGACCAAGGCATGCATATATTTAATCAACTTCTGTTTTCTTCTTAGATTGCCAAGGAAATCTGATGTGGAAAGGTGAGTATGAAAAAAAATATTTAATTCTTTCTCATGATTTTCCCCCCTTCTAATCTGTGAGTATGTGTATGGAGGGGGCTGTTGATGGTGAAGAAGGGCTGTGGACTAGGAACCTAGGCCCAAAGAAACCTAGAACTGTGTATTTAGCCAGGAGCACCAGGGAGTGCAGTTTTCTTCTCATTCTTGGTACTTGGATGTGTTAGAACGTTTGTTCTGTAAACCTTTATTGATGACTGACCCAGGTAAGTCCTTGGGAGGAAAATGTAACTGTATAGTTTGTAATGAAAGTTGAGGAATAGGCTGGCTTTGGACAGATGGCTGTTACTATACCAGTTGCTGTAATGATGCTGTTAAATATCTTTTAGCACATTGACTTTAGTCTCCTGCTATTGCTATTTTATAATTGAAAAAAATTTGATTCAATTTAAGCTTGGGGCTTAAGACAACACTATTAGGTTTCCATAGGCCAAAGGAACAAGATAAATTAAGATTTAAGGAGATCATGTTATTGGGATTTAAATTGGGACTGTAATATAAGGCTAACTTGATTATATTTTTGATACTACCTATGTGCCTTGGTGTTGGATTTAAAGAGTAAACCACTAGGGAGGTTTATAGTATTCATTAGTGACTACCTCTCTATTACCAACACCAAATGCTCATTTTATAGACTTAGACACAAATCAAAAAGGTAGAGCTGGAAGACGAAGTTGAAACTTAACCCTTGGCTGGCCAGTTTTATTTTTCAAGACAGGCTTTCTGGGTTTAGTCCTGGCTGTCTTGGAACTTACTCTGTACACCAGGCTAACCTTGAACTCAGAGAGCCACCTGCCTCTGCCTCCCAAGTGCTGGGATTAAAAGCCTGGGCCACCACCACCACCAGGCTGACTGGTCACTTTTAAGAGAAGGAAACAAACTAGGTTTGTTTTGCCTATTGTGGGGTAGGAAAGAACACTGGGCTTTTGGAGAATTAACTCGTGCACCCTATCATTTGAGACAATGTGGTGTCAGCAAACCACATTACAGTAGTTTACAGAGAAAGGCATCTTTTTGATAGAGGAGCATATTTAGGAAAAAAAATACTAGACAAACCTAGTTGGTTGTTGGTAAGAGAGGGATAGCACCAGCCTACTGAGTCCTGGTGTGTTCAGGTGGTTGGTGTAGTGCTGGGTTTTGAACCAGAGCCTTATATTCTGAGCTACAGTTCCCCCTCCCCTGTCAGATCTGAATGTACTTTTAGCACAAGTGTTGTTTCTCAGTCTTGCTTGCTTGTTTTCTTTTATAATCCTTGACAGACACTGACAAAGAGCCATAAGTACGCCCTTGGCTTTTCTTTTTCTGTTTCCAATAATCATGATGTTGACTGTTCTTAAGGAAGCCTTTCAACTTGTGTGTGGTCTTCATACACTCACAATAGCACCTTGAATTTGACATATTCAGTCATCGTTAGACTTCAGCAAAAGCATACATGGATGCATTGCATCCTGGTGATGTCATTGTCAAGATGCAGAGGCATTGGCTGGATTTGTAGGCCATTGAAAAGTCACATTAAAATTATTAATAAATTTGACTGGTAGGTATTCTGGGTCTTGCCATTAGTTCTGGCATGTTGTTTTTTTCCTCCAGTGTCTAAACAATGAAAGGTATGATTGTCAGTTGTGTAATGGTTCTGGAGAAGTCTAGCGAAACATATAGAAGGCAGAGAGTTTTTGATGAAGTTCTTAGAGATGATAAAAATATTGGTGATTGCTGAGTGAAAAAGCATAGAAGTGAGTACAATATAAAAATGATATGGACAGACCTACTTTTTCTTTTACTATTCAGTATGCCGTCTTTAATTGGCTAAGGTAATGAACTTTACCATTGAAATTCATTTGAGTAAAGAGCTTCATATAACAAAGTCCCTTGTTAATTTCTTTTTCAGTTATGCTGTTGCAAGTTGGGAAATAGCCCTTGACTTTGTAAAAGAACATAGTTCAAAGCTCTGGTAAAGAAAATATTTCAAGTCCTCTAACCAGAATGATAACTAATTACCAGTAGTTTCAGTTATGAAGTTCATACTTTGTAGCTCCTAAATTGGTCCCCTTTGGGACTCATTTAACTTCTACCTCATATCCATGAATATAGTATATTATAGGAATCATTTGTTATAATAAAAAGATTAGTTTCAAAATGTAATCATTGTGGAAAAACTCCTTTTTGAGTTATTGCTCTGTGGTAAAGAGGTATAGAATGGCAGGACACAAAGATGGGATGAAAGTAATATTTATGTAAATATTTTAGGCTAATTTCGTTGTTCTTAAACACTTTTTTAAAAATTCACATGAAACAAATTGTGAAATATAATGTGTTGGTTCATATGAGAATTATTTTATTTTACAGGAAAATCGAAATTGTACAGTTTGCTAGCCGGACACGTCAACTCTTCGTTCGATTGTTAGCTTTAGTAAAATGGGCTAATGATGCTGGCAAAGTAGAAAAGTGTGCGGTGAGTTAAACTTCTGATTTTGCTTTGTATAAAGTAACTTGAAAGCTGGACATGGTAACACATGCCTGTGATATTAGTACCTAGGAAGCTGTGTAAAAGACAGACGTGAGTTCTAGGTTAGTGAGACTACGTGGCAAAATGCTGTTTTGAAACAAACAAAATAACTTTAAATGTTTATTAAATGTTATTACTGCCAATAATTCTTCCTTTATGAAATTCCATAATGCATGTCTGTGGAAGCCTGGTATTTATTTTTGGACACTTGACCAAAAGGAAGAGGAGGAGATACCTGGAAGACATTACATGAGGAGACTTTAATGTATCACTGGAAGAACTAAAGGGGAGAAATGGTTAACTTCAAAATTGCATGATTCTTTGGAGCAGCGATTCTCAACCTGTGGGTTGTAGCCCCTTTGGCAGCCCTCTGTTTTCAAAAATATTTACATTATGATTTATAACAGTAGCAAAATTACAGTTATGAAATATCAACAAAAATAATTTTATGGTTGGGGGTTGTCACAGCATGACAGTATTTATGGGTCGCAGTGTTAGGAAGATTGTAAGTTCTCTCAAAGTTTGCTTATTGATTTCTGGTATCCTTGTGAACATGGTAGAAGTCTGTATTTTCTGTTTTAACAGATGAGATGACATGACTTTTAGAAAATACACAGCATCTTCAAGGGCACCGAACTGATGACAGCATGTATCAGTTCAATTGTTTGTTCATTTACTCATGCTCTAAAACTACTGAACATGGGCTATAATGGATAGCAGGGAATGACTTGAATAAGGCATAGTCCCTGTCTTCAGGAAGCTCATAGTCTTTTGAATGTTCACTTACTCTTAATTCAGAGAAGTGACTTCATAGAGTGAAGTGTGTAATAAAGACTAAATCTAGCCCCTAAAAAAAAAAAAAAAAAAAAAAAAACGTTTTAAGGGGCTGGAAATGTAGTTCAATTGATAGTACCTCTACAGCATGTAATAAGCCTGTGTCCAGCACTGCATGAACCAGGCATGGTGATGTTTGCCTGTAATCTCAGCACTTGGGCAGTGGAGATAGGAGGATCAAAAGTTTAAGATCATCCTTAGCTACATTGTCAGTTGAATCCAGCAGCAGATCCTGTTTCTACACAACTATAACAACAGAAGCCATTCAAGTTTTAAGCTAAGAATGTTAAGAGGACAACCTAGGGGCCTTCAGTGAGCTTACTGAGATAACTTGGGGAGGGTAATTTGGTGTTCACAGAGGTGGAACACTGGCTCTTTTTTTTTTTACTTAAGTCACTCTTAATGAGTTCATACTGAAACGGGCAATTATAAAGTCCTGAAATGAAGAGAGCATTTACCTATTTTAATTGAGGTTCCCTTTCTGTCTAGGCTCAGCTCTATAAGACCAAATATATGTTTAATTGTTGTCAGTTGAATTTGTGAATGGAAAGGAAGTGCAGAGCTACGCTAAGCTTTACAATGATGTTCGAATTCCATTTTCTGTTTTCATTCTTTTATTTAATGATATTTTTAAAAGGTTACTAGTTTTTGGGCCTGGAGATATGATTTTGCAGTTAAGAGCACTGGCTGCTTTTCCAGAGGACTCAGATTCAATTCCCAACATCCACAAGGCAGCTCACAACTGTCTGTAACTCCAATTCTAGGGGATCGGACACCCTCACATACATACAGAAAAACACCAACGCACACAAAATAAAAATAGTTTTTAAAAAAGGTTATTAGCTTTTATAGGCTAAAGCATGTTAACTAATTGGCACTGGCTAAATTATATTTGAGAGTTTCAAAAATTCTCTGTTAATCAAGCTTCTTAAATAGAAATGAATAGATAGTTGGCATGGTGGTACCATAGTATATTTATTTTTTAGCCCTCTGGTAAGTTGAAAATATATGAATGGAGAATTTTTTTTTTGTAAGTTGATGAAGGTACTTATTCTACAAAAATGTCACTCTACATTCTACAGCACAGCTATGTTTCTTATATTTCACCTCAGTTTTTAGCCTGTTGTTTTTGCCCAGCCTCTTTCACTTGATTGGCTTATTATAACCAAAACCTACATGGAAGTCGACAAACTAAAAGGAGGAAAATGATCATAAAGAAGTAGATTTTTGGAAAATCCTAGGATATATATTTGTTTTTTGAAGTATATCCTGTTCTATTCTCAATTTGGTGAATCCTAGAGTCACCTGGGAAGAGAAATCTCACTCCTGAAGTTGAATAATTACCTTGATCAGATAGGGCCTCTGGGCATACATATATTTGGGGTATTTTCTTGATTAATAATTGATATGGGAGGCAGCGCCCAGTGAGGGAGATCTTTTCTGGGTAGTGTTAAGTCCTGGGCTGTATAGGAAAGCTAGCTGAACATTAAGCTAGTAAGTAGGCCAGGGTGCCTCATTTCTCTCTGGTTTCTGCTTGAGTTCCTGTGTTGCCCTCCTTTAATGATGAATAAAGATCTGGAAGTATAAACTGAACAAACCCTCTCCTGAAGTTGCTTTTGGTCAGAGTGTTTTTTTTTTTTTTTGGTTTTTGTTTTTGTTTTTGAGACAGGGTTTCTCATGTAATAGCCTTGGCTGTCCTGGAACTTGCTCTGTAGACCAGCCTGACCTTGATCTCAGAGATCTGCTTGCCTCTGCCTCCCAAGTGCTGGGATTAAAGGTGTGTGCCACCACTGCCCTGCAGGTCAGTGTGTTTTATCATACACAGCTGTAAAAAGGAAACTAGAACAGAGTGGGGAAATAATTTTTATTGACATTAGTGCATAGCTCTAGTCCTGGCAGCTAAGCCTGTCACAGGAGTATACCAGTTTTCTCAGGCGTGTTTTTCTGTCTCTTAGCTTGTAATACCCTTCTACATTAATACTGATCAAAAGTGTTTGACTTTATTATGTAGCCTGGGTTGGCCTTAAACTATCAATCCTTTTGTATTAGCTCATTTAGTGCTGGGATTAGGGATATGTATTACTACCACAATCAATTTTTGAGGTAGAATGTTTTGTACATATTAAATTTTCCTTGAGGAGCCAATGCTCTCTTCTCGTCCTTTTGCCTCTTTGGGCACAAGATATGCACATGATACATATACATATTCAGTGAAAGCACCCATGCACAAATAAATACATAATTATTTAACAAGAAATTCTTTGAGGGAGAAGTTTTCATTGTTTATGTATGTGATTGGGAAATTAAAATTTTGCAAAGTTTTGTACACACTAAGCAGTATTCAAAGAATTTTTTTTTCCATTCGTAGATTTGCTCTTTATTCAATGTTAATGTTAGAGTTCTCAGGCTGAACCATGCCTGAGAACCCAAAGAAAGAAATGGTGCAATGGACAGCCTCATCCACCCAGACAGTGTAGTAAAACTTGATTCATGTGTCTTTTGACACAATCTTAAAAAATTAGAACAAGACTTGGAATTTACATCTGCTGTAGGTGTTCAGTGTTCCAATACAGTATGCCATTAAACAAACCTCTTCACCTCTGTCTCCATTCCCTTCTTAAACACTAACCCCAAACAGAATTAATTTGGGGGTAGGGAGTAAAAGCATACTTTAAGGGAAATATGTGGCTCAAGGTGTGAGATTATTTTTTCAAAGAATAATTTTTATTGTAAATAGTAAACAGGCAATTCTAAGTTACCGGAAAGATTAAAATTGAATTTTAATGTTTTAGAAATTTGAGTACCAAGTCTTGATGAGTTCATTTTGGCTGAAATAAAAAGCCTAATTTTTATTAAAAGTACATGAATTTTAGTAAAAGGTTAGATATTACTAACATACATCCAAGCCAAAGGTTTAGTTTTTTTTCTCTCCAAATTTATTTGGAGGTTATTTTTTAGAGGTTATTTGTTTGCTTCAGTAATATGATATCATGGGACATTGAAAACTCTGTATGTGGTGAGCTCCAAAGATCCCCTGTCTGTCTCCTCAGTGGTAGGACTACTGGTACATACTACTATACTTAGCTTTTTAATGGTATGCCGGGAAGCTAAGCCCAGGGCTTCATGCTCGTGTGCCAAGCATTTTACTAACTGAGCCATCTTTCCAGTTCCCAATGGTCCATAAACAATTTTAGAATTTTATCAACGCAAAAAGAAAACTTGTACTATTTATCTATCACTCCTAGCCCTTACCAATAGGCAACCATTAACCTACTTATCTGTTTGAATTTGCCTATTCTAAACATTTCATATAAATGGATTCATGTTCCTTTCTTTCTCAAAGGTTTTTAAATAATATTTTTAGTATGTATCAGTACTTCATTTATATTGACTTGTATAGAAATAGACATTTTGTTTTATCTCTTCTTTTCTAGTTGGAATATGTGGTTTGGGGCTGTTATAAATAAAGTTATTTTTTTTTTGAGACTGTGTTTCTCTGTGTAGCTTTGGAGCCTATCCTGGCACTCACTCTGTAGATCAGGCTAGCCTCGAACTCACAGAGATCTGCCTGCCTCTGCCTCCCAAGTGCTGAGATTAAGGGCATGAGCCACCACCCCCGGCTGTTACAAAGTTTTTATTTATGCCTAAAAGTGGCTGTATCATAGATAATTTTGTTTCATCTCATCAGCTAGAGTATTGTCTATACAGGATGCACCATTTTATATTCCTACTAACAATGTATGAAGGATCTTTTTCATATCCATATTATTACCTGCTTTGAGTTTAGCAATCCTAGTGTTACCTTACTAAAGCTAAAGCTAGTCCATTTATCCTTCCTGACTGACTTCCCCTGTGTCTTTATTTTGAGGCAGGGTTTCACTGTGTAATCTAGGCTGGCCTTTGTATTTGCTGTTGCCTAGGCTAAAGTCAAACTTGTGATCTTCCTGCTTCAGTGTCCTGAGTGCTGGATTACAGGCATGCACCACCTAGTTTCAACATCCATTTCCCTGTTGACTGGTGATGTTGAGTATGTATTCATTGGCCATTTGTATTTCTTCCTTAGAGAGATGGCCATTCGCTGCTCAAAGTCTGACAATTATTAACCATATCAATCGTTGGTGTGTAAATATGATTTTTTTCCCCTTCGAGACAGGGTTTCTCTGTGTAGCTTTGGAGTGTAAATATGTTTTAAAAAGCATACTGAGCTGGGCGGTGGTGGACACCTTTAGTCCCAGCACTTGGGAGGCAGAGTTCTTGTGAGTTCAAGACCAGCTTGATCAACAAGAACTAGTTCCGGGACAGCCTCCAAAGCCACAGAGAAACCCTGTCTCAAATCAACAACAACAACAACAAAAAAAAAAAAAAAAAAAAAAAAAAAAAAAAACCAAAAAACCAAAAAGCATACTAATTACTTTGGTTATGAGAGTACTACTAAGTTGCTTAAAACTAAAGCATTAATATTAATTTGGTTTGATTTCTAAGTTAAAGAAATGTAACTGAGAGGCAGGCAGATCTCTGTGAGTCAGAGACCAGCCTGGACCTAGGCCCAGAGGTCCAGGAGGGCCTCCAAAGCCACAAAGAAACCCCGTCTTGAAAAACCAAAAAAAAAAAAAAAAAAAAAAAAAAAAAAGAAAAAAGAAAGAAAGAAAGAAAAGAAATGTAACTGAGTTTAGTGTATGTATCTTGACTTCTGTAACTGTAACTCTTTCACTTTACAGTACTGCAGGCTAGATAAACTGATACTCAATTTATCTCCCATCTTCCCAGAGGGAAGGTCTCTGGTTTTCTTTTTCCTTAACTCAGTCTTATGAACATTTTCACCTGTGAGTGATAAGAATTTTTTTTTTAAAGACAGTGCTTCTCTGTATAGCTCTGGCTGTCCTAGAACTTGAACTGTAGACCAGGTTGGCCTCAAACTCACAGAGATCTGCCTGCTGTCATCTCCCAAGTGCTGGGATTAAAGGTGTAACATCTCTTCCCAGTTAATCACCAAGATTCTTAATGTTTGTTTGTTTTTGTTTTTGTTTTTTTTTCTTTAAGACAGGGGTTGTCTTCGAAGTAGAGTTCCGCCTGCCTTTGCCTGAGTACTGGGATTAAAGGCAAGTGCTGCCACCACCTGGAGTGACAGGATTCTTCTTCTGTCTTAAAAAACAGAACAAAACAAAACAAACAAACAAACAAAAAAAACATTCATTGGTGTTTTGCCATGGTTGTCAGATTCCCTGGGACTGGAGTTACAGACAGTTGTGAGCTGCCATTTGAGTGCTGGGAGTTGAACCTGGGTCCTCTGGAACAGCAGCCATTGCTATTAATTGCTGAGCCAACTCACCGGTCCCAATAAGATTCTTAAAATGTCCTAAATCTGAGTTAAACCAGTTTAGCAGTTGTGACTGTGTTTTAGTACTATCATGGCTATAAACAAGAACTTAGCGTTGGTGGCATTGCTAGAACATTGTACTAGTTATAAAAGGTAGCATTTCTTTTGTGTTAAGCTGTACTGGGAACAAAAAAAAAAAAAAAAAAAAAGAGAGAAAAAGAAAAAAAGACTGGATGGATAGCAGCCCCGTGGCACAAGCCTTTAATCTCAGCACTTGATAGGCAGAGGCAGATGGATCTCCATTTTCTGGTTCTAGCTTTTCTTATATTAAGCTCTATTTCTTTGAAAAAAGGTCTTCACTTGTGAATCAACTTTTCTCATCTCTAAGGTGATAGTAATTTTAGAGTTGTAGAGATTACATAATAAAGTAACTAGAAATGGAAAGAAGATACCTATCACTGCTTATGTATGATGCCCTATTACATTAATTCTGGGTGACAGGGTTTAAGTTGTCCATCAGAAGCTTATTTGAAGGACATAAGAGAAAGGAATGCTAGGTATTGATATAAAACAGAACTAAAGGTTTGAAGGAGATAGTTTTCCAGCTTTTGATGACTCTATTTACTACTGCACTGAATAGAGAACTGATAGAAGGAATTTCTGTATTGTGCAGAAAGTTGCCTGAGTGTTTTCCTATGTTCTGAAGGTTAGAAATGTAGTATTTAATTCTCAGAACAACTTCATGAGTTGGGAATCATTACCTCCATCTTACTGTTGAAAACCTTAGGCATAGAAAGGTAACCTTTTTGCCCAAGCAGACAGGGCTAGTAAATTACAGAGTTAGAATTTAGATCAAGGCAGTGTAGGAGTTCATAATTTTAACTACTTTCATTGCTACTTAGTACTAGAAGTCTATCAGAGTAAAAGTATTTTACTTTACTCTCTTCTTAATATTTGGTATTATGTATGAGTATCAAAAGTGGAGAAATGAAAAAGTACTATTTTAATGTCACAGAAATAGATACTTCTTCAAATAAATATGAAACTACCTATTTTAATATCTTTTGAAACTTACTTTGGAGTATGTAAATGATATTTAAGAAGAAAGCAATTTTTAAGTCAGCTTATTTTACCCTTTGCTTTAAAGATGATCTCAAGCTTTTTAGATCAGCAAGCTATCTTGTTTGTGGACACCGCTGATCGTCTGGCCTCCTTAGCTAGAGATGCACTGGTCCACGCACGCCTGCCTAGTTTTGCTATCCCGTATGCCATTGATGTGCTGACTACTGGCTCTTATCCACGACTTCCAACCTGCATCAGAGTAAGTGTTTTGCCTGTCTGTACTCATGAAAGTTGAAGGCTTTGGGCTTAGATTATGTGGCATAGGAAAAAACATATTTTAAAGGCTAGTTTATGTAGTTTTTTTATATCTAGAAGTAAAAGTGTGGTAGCTTGAAATAAATTGGGGCCATGATATGAGTAGATATCGAACTGGGGAATCCTCTTTTTTATTTCCTTTATTTTCTCCTTTCCTTGTTCTTGTTGGGAGTGAGCAGATACACAAATATCTTTTAGTGTCTATTTCAAGTGTGAAAATAATTGCATAGTGGTAGCATTTTAGAAGTGCATTCAAATGTATTATGGTAGTTGAATGAGTTTGTGCTATTGTTTTCTGTACATTTCGTAAATAGAGAAAATCGTCTAGTGATATTAACTTGGTGTCATAAAGAACATGGTTTTACCAAGGTGACTGAATTATTCATACTCAGATGCATAGTCACTATTATTGGATGTAGACAACAAAAATTGGTGTTGTCATCTTGAGTAAAGTAAGAACATGTATAAAGACAGGTGAAGGTAAATAATTTCATCTTTCTGCATATTATTTTAAATTTTCTTTTTTTTGTAGGATAAAATTATTCCTCCAGACCCAATTACCAAAATTGAGAAACAAGCCACACTTCATCAGCTCAATCAGATTCTTAGACATAGGCTTGTCACAACAGATCTTCCTCCACAGCTAGCAAATCTTACAGTGGGTACGTACCTGAAATTTTTTGTAAGAAGAATATTTTCTTGGGCTGATCAGTGGTGGTGCTCACCTTTAATCCTAGCGCTTGGGAGGCAGAGACAGGCTGATCTCTGTGAGTTCAAGGCCAGCCTGTTCTACAGAGCTAGTTCCAGGAGAGCCAAGGTTACAAAAAAGTACTGTCTTGAAAAAAGAATATTCTTGAGCTTGAGAGATGGCTCAGAGGTTAATACTGACTGCCCTTCCAGAGGTCTTAAGTTCAATTCACATCAACCACATGGTGGCTCACAACCATCTGTAATGAGATCTGGTGCCGCCTTCTGACATGTAGGCATACATGCAGGCAGAATACTGCATACATAATAAATAAATACATCTTTAAAAATAAGAATATTTTCTTAAATGTTCTTTTGTGTTTTGTTCAAAGGACAAGTAAATAAGTTTTAATTTTTTGTGGTATTTGAACCTATGTTTGCCATCCATAATTGTTCTTTTTTTAGCACCTAAAAATACAGTGCTGGTATTTGCAATGTGGGGGAATGAGTGTAATTACCTGAGGTTGGAAGAGAAAAAGGCCCCAAAGTTGAACCTGGAGAACATGCTATGCTGTTGATTTATGTGTAAGAAGAGCTGCCTTTGGTTTCTTAATAACCTAGACATTGGCTACTGTCCAACTCTGAACCATTACTTGGTTCAACACGTAGGACAAAACTTGTAGTTTATTTAAAATGTCTCATAAATGAGATTGAAACTTGGAGATTAGTTAGAAGCATATTGTTTTAAAGCAGTGTCTACTTTTTTCTCTTCTAAAAGCAAATGGCCGTGTGAAGTTCCGAGTTGAAGGAGAATTTGAAGCAACTTTGACAGTAATGGGTGATGATCCAGAAGTTCCATGGCGCCTTCTCAAGCTTGAAATTCTAGTTGAAGATAAGGAAACAGGAGGTAAATCATCATAGTACTGGTTTTGGTATCCTTTCCTCCCCTCTTAAACATTTATTTATTTATTATTTATTTATGGTCTTGACATTGTTATTGAAGTATTCATGCAGAAAAATGTGTAGCAGCTTATTCTGTAATTTGAAGCAAAGTTTTGATGAGCATAATTACCTACTGACTGGAGAAGTTTCAGTGTTTCTTAATGTATAATACTTTATAGTTTTCTCAAGATAATCCTGGGTCCTCTTTAATTTTAAATTCATTTTTAGTATACACTTTCTTGGTTAATCCTATGGCACTGACTTCTCTTTTTAATTAACTGCCTTCTTTTCTTCTGCCAATGGTAGATGGCCGAGCTTTGGTTCATAGCATGCAAATCGACTTTATCCATCAGTTGGTGCAGTCTAGGCTTTTTGCTGATGAGAAACCTCTCCAGGACATGTACAACTGTCTACGTATCCTTCTGAAATTTGAGACATGTACTGTAAGGATTTGTGTTTCCCTCTTTCTATTATATTTTCTGTTTATCCTTTGTCCTGACCTGTAGTAGTTTGGCCTCTCCTTCCCATCCCTCACCTCATTTGGGTAGAAATAGACATATACAACTGGTCAGTGTGAACACTAATGATACATGTATAATAAGACAGGTTTTAAATTTTACCACTGACTTTGCAGGCAACTCCTAAATGTGATTACTTTGAAATAGTATTGTTTGCTGGGCAAGGTTGTACATGCCTGTAATCCCAGCATCTGAGAGGCAAGGCTGTATAGTTAGTAACAAAGCCAGCTTGCATTACATAATGAAAATCTGTTTCAAAAAGGTATCATTTTGGTCTGAAAATGTATTGCTCAATTTGTATTTTGTAAACAGTGATAAATGAAGGTACAAACCTGGACCTAGTTTTGTTTATTTAGGCCAAAATTATCAACTCTTTTTCTGAAATTATGCCACATTACTACTTAAGATATAAATTTTAGAAAACCACAAATTTTGTCTTATTTAGGATGAGTCATTAGACAAAGATGATTCCAAAAAATTTCTTCATTGCCAGCTTTTTTGGCATAGATTCCTTGTTAGATGACATTTGCCTGTGCTTATTGGCTGTTTATATAACATGTTATATCGTATTTGCTTAACATAAATCAGATTGTTTCTGCTTGTCACTTCAATTAGAAGTGCTACATTCCCAGACTCTGATGTTAATCCGAGAGAGGTGGGGCGACTTGGTACAGGTGGAAAGATATCATGCTGGAAAGTGCCTCTCTCTTTCAGTTTGGAAGTAAGTAAAATTGGTTCTGGTCCGTCTAAGTGATAAGTGAATCCTATTTTTTGTTTTGGTTTTTTGTTTGTTTCTTTCCCTCATATGAGTGATTTATTACATATGAATAGCTATGTGCTCAGAGTAATGTGATTTAATTTAGTAACATTCCAATATCATGTAGACCACGTGAGACATCCATAATTGCTACATTTTTTAGAGCATTACGCTTTAGATTTGTAGATATATTATCTGTGCTAAGCCTCACTATACATTTTTTAAAGTTAGATTTGCTTACTATGGGCTCATGCCAGATTGTTCAAAGACTGTTAGTTTAGATCAGGTTTTTGGGTTGTGCTGGCAATCAAACCCAGGGCCTTATGCATACAAAGTGAGCACTCTACCATTAGAGCTATATCCCTAGCCCCCAAAGGTTAGATTGTTGAGTTATATCACTTTTTAAAACATACTTGATTATCAGTTTTCCATTTTAAGTTGTATCTTTGAAAACTGATTTGGAAGAAATTGGTATGAGGCTATTTACCTTTAATTCCTGTTTGAACCTGACTTCTGAGTTTCTGTAGAATATCAGGCAGACTACCTCTAAGGTGATTTCTGTTTAAGTTATGTGGGTTTGTGTGTGTGTGTGTGTGTGTGCATGTGCTTGTATTTTATTTTAAAATCACTATTGTTTTTGAAATGTAATAGAGCAAATGCTGAATTGGATTATAGAATAACTATCATTTCATTATCAATGTATTCCCTACACAAACACACACTGAGGGCCTGCTATGTGCAAGGTTCTGACTCAGTAGCATAATGCATGTTTCTGTTTGAGTGGAAAAGTTAAAAAGCTGTGTTTATATGTCATTCTCCCCCTGCCCTCTTTCAGTCAACAGGTTCTAGGGAGAAAAACAGGCACAGCATCTGTTCACAAAGTTACAATTAAAATCGATGAGAATGATGTCTCCAAGCCTTTACAGATTTTTCATGATCCTCCTTTGCCAGCTTCTGATTCTAAATTAGTAGAAAGAGCTATGAAGGTAAAGGATTCTCAGTGTATTTTAATACTGATTTGATTAAATAAATATAACGTAGCACATATAAAACTTAGCATAAACTTTTCAAAATATGTATTCATTTCTAAAACCCTGTATGAAACTTGTTTTAGGTCAATTTCATACTTCTGTATTTGTTTGTCTTTTTTAACATCTGATACTATATAAAATAATTTTTAATATCATCTTTCAGTTTTAATATGTAGGGCAATGCTATTGATTGCATCTAAGCATATACTCTTAAGCTGAATTATGCCCCTAAGCTAGTTTAATTTTTGTTTTTGTTTTTTTGAGACAAGAGTTTCTCTGTGGCTTTGGAGGCTATCCTGGAGTAGCTCTTGTAGACCAAGCTGGTCTTGAACTCACAGAGATCCACCTGCCTTTGCCTCTCAACTGCTGGGATAAAAGTCATGCACCACCACCGCTTACTTTAAATTTTGTAGTTTAAATCACACCATTTTATTTTGTAAGCTCTGGTGTCTGAGAACTGTGACTACTGTTATGTGTATGTTGTTCTTTTGAGGCAGAATCTCACTATGAAGCCATGACAGGCCTGGAACTTGCTATGTAGACCAGGATGGCCTCAACTCACATAGATCAAGCTGCCTGCCTCTGTCTCCCAAGTGCATGGAAGAGTCTCAGGTCACCCAGGCTGACCTCAGTCTTGTTACATATCTTTAGATGACCTTTTAATTTCTGATCTCCTACCTCTATCTCCTGAATCCTGGGATTGCATGTGCCACCACACACAGTGTATGAGATGCTGGGGAATCAAATCCAGAGCTTCCTGCATGCTGAGCACGTAGCTAACTGAACTATATACCTATCCCTATACTCCTGTACCTAGCAGAATAAAAATTTTAGTTTTGAAGTTTCTAATGTCATACAAAATAAAACTCAGAATCATTTCAGTTATATTTTTACTTTATCTAAGTTTGCTTGTACTGGTTAATCTCCAATATTGACATTAAGGCACAGTTGTGTGCACTTACACTTTTATAGTCAGAGTCTTTTAATTGTCCATTTGTTTTTGTTGTTGCTCTTTATGCAGATTGACCACTTATCAATAGAAAAGCTTCTGATTGACAGTGTACATGCAAGAGCCCATCAGAAGCTGCAGGAAATGAAAGCCATTCTTAGAAGCTTCAATGCTAATGAAAACTGTAAGTGTTTTCAATTGATGCTCTTATTTTTTTTTTTCAAGACAGGGTTTCTCTGTATTGCTTTGGAGCCTGTCCTGGAACTAGCTCTATAGACCAGTGTGGCCTCGACCTCTGTCCCCCCTCCCCCAAGTGTTGGGATTAAAGGTGTGTGCCACCAACACCCAGCCTTACTTTTGTTTTAAGGGTTTTTCTCATATGATTTCCCTTGATGAATGGTTTTGTTGAAGAGGCTGGGCTTTTTTGAATTTAACCTAAAATCTACCATACCTGTCCTAATTTCTACATTTATTTATTTATTTTACTTAGCTTGTCTTACTTTTGAATTTTGTTGGGGGGGGGATCGTTTCGAGACAGGGTTTCTCTGTGGTTTTAAAGGCTGTCCTGGAACTAGCTCTTGTAGACCAGCCTGGTCTCAAACTCAGAGATTCGCCTGCCTCTGCCTCTGGGATTAGTGCTGGGATTAGCCTCCCAAATGCTGGGATTAAAGGTGTGCACCACCACTGCCTGGCTATTTTTGAATTGTTTACACATAGTCTCTCCTCAAAAATGTATGCTTACTAAAATAGAAACATTTTGGTTTTATTTTACATACCGATCCCAGTTCCCTGTCCTTCCCTCTCCTTCCCTCCCATGCCCCCTCCCATCCCATTTCCCACCGACTCCCCAGGGAGGGTGAGGCCTTCCAGGAGGAGTCAACAAAATCTATCAATTTGGAGTAGGGACTAGGCCCTCCCTCCTGCCTCTAGGTTAGGGGAGTATCCCTTCATGGGGAATGTGCTCCCAAAGTCAAAATAGAAACATTTTAACATGCGCCATAATTTCGTTTTCTTCTGACAAAGCAGACTGCAAATACTTCTATAATGAATTTATAAAATATGACTGAACGAAGCAGAGTTTAGTCTTCAGTTTTATTAAAGCTATAAATGCATTAACAGTGTTAAGATTAAGAAATGCAGTTGTAAAGAGAGTGGAAAATCTTCTAAGTTTAATTACTTACCTAATCTGTTAAGAGCTTTAGATGTAGAAAATTCTTTCATTCCAGGTGGCTCTCCATTTATGGTCCTCACCTCCATCCCAACCATATATATATATATATGTCTTGGTATATTATAATCCAGTCTGCCTTCAAACTTGTGGGCTTGATACTTCAGCTCTTCATTCATTGGCTGGGATAACAGGCATGGGCCAACATACCTAGCTCCTCTAGTTGTTTTTGATCATAATTACCTTGTGCTCAATGTGCAAAGTATAATTAAGATAATGTAGGTGAGGTGCTTTTAAAGTAGAAGCTAGTAGTAGCAAAGGTACAGAGCCCAGATCACTCCATTATACTTACAGAAAAGCGACTTCTTGGGTATATACTAGTAACCGTGGATTAAGGTCATTTTGAGAAAAGGAGATTAAACATTGCTTGAAGCAAAGAAAAATTTTGAAAAATGGACAATACATGTTCATTCAAAATGTTCTGGTAATTTTTGATTCTCATCACATAAATATTTAAGGTGGTAGGTATAGTAATTATTATTGACTTGATCAGTGTACAATTTATAAATGTATTTCAATATCATATAATCTATAAATATAACTATTTTATGTCAATAAAATATATTCATTCAGTGAAAACTAAAGAATAGATGTGATAAGTATTAACACATGAATATGTATTAACATTTTTCTTTCATTTAACATATAAAACAAAAGATCTCTTCATTATTTTCTTAGATTGACCTTTTTATTTTATGTGTATGGGTGTTTTGTCTATATGTATGTCTAGTACCTACAGAGGTCAAAAGAGTGTTGAATTCCCTAGAATTGGTGTTATATACTGTTAGCTGCCATGTAGGTGTTGGGAATCTGAAGGAACAGTCATTTTTCTTCACTGAGCCATCTCTCCAGCTTCCCCCCTCCCCCTCCTTTTCTCCTCCCCTCTCTTTTCTACTTCCTCTCTTCTCCCTCCTTCTCTTCTTCATTGGCTTTTATAGACCAGTCTTGCTTTGAACTTTCAGCAATCCTCTTCAGTCAGTGCCTCCTCTCCTCAAGTGCTAGAACAACTTGAATGTACTATCAGTCTCTTTTTACTGTGACATTTTCATATGTGTATATTGTGCTTTGCTCATATCCACTCCTACTGCTGCTATCTTTTTGTCCTCTCCCACTCTGATGGCTCCCTTTCTCCCCTTAAGTAGGTCCCCTTTCTGCTTTTTATGTTTTGGTATATTGTTAAATATCTCCTTTCATGCCTTTTATATATTGAATTTGGGTTCTTAAAATCAAAGAAAACATACTTGTCTGTCTTTGTCTGGCTTATTTTGCTTAACATGATCTTCTCCAGTTCTATCCATTTTCCTGAAAATGCCATAGTTTTGTTGTTTTTGTTGTTTTAATAGCCAAATGAAATTCTATTGCATATATAATCCACATTTTAAAATTCATTCATCTGATGATAGGCATTTAGTTGTTTACTGTGTAGAAGACTTAATTACACATATTCCCATTTTTCAGTTCTTGTTTGTATTTCCTAATCTATTGGAGTCCTTTACTTTTATGTATATATTAAAATGCTTCAAATTTCTGGTCTTTTTAGGTTTTAGGTTTTGAAATGTTTAGAATTGAAGTTTTAGAGACTTGATAATAGAGGTCTAGTTTTATTCTTCTATATATGGATGTCAAATTTTTCCAGCATCATTTTGTTGAATTTTCTTTTTCAAAAACCCTAGTGAGCGAGGGTTTTTGGTACTTTTAAAAACCAGATGGGTGTAATTTCCTGTGTTTGTTTCTGGGATCTGTATTCTAATCCATAGGCCTATATATGTCTGTTTTGTGACAGTACCATGTTATTTTGTTAATATAGCTCAGTTGTGTAGTTTGAAATAGGCTTTGTGAAGCCTTCAGCATCATGTTTGTATGGGTGCTGGCCACAGTACAGTTTGGACCTTGGTTCTTTTGAAATGCTTTTTTTTACGTAGCGTTTTGAGTCAAGATCTCTCACTGACCATTTTCTTCATAGATTAATGTGAACTCCAGGAATATGCCCATCCCCACCTTCCTAGTACTGCAATGACACCACCATACTCAGCCTCTTCTTACTTGGGTTTTGGAAGTCAGACACTGGTCTTTGTATTTTCAAGACAAGTACTTTCCCAACTGAGCCATCTCTCTCTACTCTCCTTTTAGATAGGGCATCTCTATAATCCTGGTATTTGCTATGTTGTTTAGAGCTGTTTTGTCTCACCCTCCTGGCATCACAGGCATGTATCACGGCTGCTTCAACATTGATCTCTTTCTGTTTAGGATTGCTTTGGCTGTTTGTGCTTTTTCTGCTTCTATATAGGTTTTAGGATTATTTATTGTAATTCTTACATTTTTGGTTGTGAGCCTAGCCTTTGACAGCTGAGCCATCCATCTAGCCCTACTTATTGTAGGGAGATCACTCTGAAACCAGATAATTTTCAGTTATCTGTCACACTGGTCCCCCTGGACCAGTTTCTCTCCCGATTCCTGGTCCCTGCAGTCACTCAAAAAATTACTCAGAGACTAATATTAAATATAATTGTTTGGTCTGTGGCTCAGGCTTAGTACTGACTAGTACTATAAATTATAAATTTATAAATTAACCCATTTTTAATCACCTGTGTCATCATGTGGCCACATGTGGCTTACTGATAATGTTCTAGCATCTTACCCCTTTGGCAGATAAGTGGCATCTCTCTGATCCCACCTTTCTTTCTCTGTCTCTGTTTGGATTTCCCGCCTAGCTATGTTCTGCTTGGCCATTGGCCAAAACAACTTTATTCATCAACCAATAAAAGCAGCACATATTTGCAGCATACAGGATATCACACAACTACCATTTTGCAGAATTATTTCTGCTGATGGATAAGCATGTTATTCCCTCTTTTAGTGTGTTGGTTGATTGATTGATAGGTACAGGTTCTTACTCTGCAATACAGACTATGCTGAAATGTAGCCTAAGGTTGGCCTTGAGTTTGTAGGAGTCCTACTGCTTTAGTTTTCAAAGTGCTAGTATTTTAAGTGTATGCTACCACACTTGTTTATGTTATAATGTCTGGAGATCACACTCAGTGTTTTGTGCATGCTGGGTGGTACATACTACCAATGTAGCCTCATCTCCATCTCCTCCCTGAGGCTTTTATTTTGAAGGGATGCTGAGCTTTGTAGGAGGTCTGCTTATCTATTGAGGAGGTCATATGGCTTCTGTTACTAGTCTGTGTTGTATTATGTTTAATAATTTGCATTTTATTGAACTATTCTTGCACTTCTGAAATGTAAACGATCCTGGAGCATTACACCCCCCCTTCCAAAGTTAACAATCTTTTATTATTGAATTTGGATAGGGTTAGTTCTATCAATTACAAAAATAGCATCTCCTGAGGTGCAGTTCTCAGAAAGCATTTAAAACAAGCATTTGCTTAAGGACTGTACAAAAACAAGACATCCTCCAGTGTTGCAGAAGAAAAGATGACTATTTTAGTTCATCATGAGGTGGATCTCCCGCATCACAAAACAGCAAAAATAGCAGCCTTAAAAAATGTTAACTCCATATAGACCTAGAAGAAAATATCCCCCCATTTCTAAACAAAACAAGATAATATCCTCTCTTATTTTTGACTCAACTTCTTCCATTTCCTGAAGGAAAAAAAAAAAAAAACAGAATAGGGTGAAAATAAATTGTTTTTCTGCCTGTCTACGAAGACTCATACCAATTCCCCTTTACTACCACCAGAAAGCAGATCTCTAATTTCTAAGGTAGATTTCCAGAAACTTGCGAACTACCCTCAAGCTATGAACAGGGAGGGTCTGAGGGCTCTTTGAAAGAGGTCTTTTGAATAAACATTATAGATATCTTATAACCTACAGGCCTAACCTAAATGTATCTTGTAAAAACAAGTAGCCACAGGCACCAAACGGAGCTGGCCAGAAAGGTACAGGACCTTGCTTCTTGACTGACCTCATATGTCTTGCAAGAAGTGGTTATGGTT